AGCTGGGGAACTACTCCTTCTACTGAAGGAACATGGATCCTTTTAGGTGTTGGAATTTTCATTATAGTTTGATAATTTCTAAAATTACGTGTTCTCTCATTTGGGTTCCGGAGTGTAGGTGTCATGAATTTATCAGACTTTTAGCTACGTATTTCAGGAAACATGAGATCTTTTGGGGTGCCGGTTCCAGGAAATTAGGGGTAGAAGGAGGAGGCCTGCAGGGCCTTACTATGCAGAGTTTGTCTGCAGGGATCTGCACAGCCGACTACTGATGGAAAGGACTCAGCTAAAGAAGAAGGTGGATGAGCTGAGGCAGGAGGAAAGGAAACTGCAGAATGATTGGACCGTGCTGAAGTACCACCTGGAGGATTTGAAATTGATCCATAATGATCAAGAAGAAGAGATCAGCTACCTCAAAATCCAGCAACAACAGGTATGGGCAGGCAACAAGTCAGTGTAAGCACTGGCACCATTTGCCCATTTGACTGACTACCCAGCTGACCACTAGTGTTTAACCCATCATCTTACTCATCCATCCTCCCTGACAGCCACCAGCCTCATATTATCCAGGCATTCCCATCAGTGTCCATGAACAAGGACATCTGGGAATCTCTTGTGTTATGGAGAACTGAAATATCTGCAAGCCTTCCTTTCTGCTCTCCTTGAAGCTGCAATTCAGTAAAGAAGATGGGTCAATAATATATCACACATGTACATGTATTTATGATTGGTAATTTTCTAGGCACAGAGCTTACTGTAAGTGGGTTTTGGGTCCTAAAGGTCTTTGATTGGCAGGGTTCATGCTAGGTCACAGGTGGGAAGCAGTTTACAAGGTGGAGATCCCTTTGCCAGTGCCAAAAGAGTGCTTCTCATAATCATGGATTTGTGTGGCCTGTGGGCTTCTCTTTTCTGCCTGCATTCCAATGTTCTCTTTGCTGTCTCTGAATTCTTGGTTCACAGTGACAGAATCCTGAGTAGCATCTCGTCAGCCCCGATTTCTAGTCGTGCTGGACAATTCTCCCATCCAGCAGATAAAATGAGTGGATGATTGAATGACCATCTCGGGGCTTTTGACAAGCTGGTGGTGGAAGGTGGGAGATTTGGGCCTATAGCAGGGGAATTTCTCTAAACAGCTCAATGTCGTCTGTCTAAGCAAACCACTTTTCCCACAATAATTTTAGTGTCTGAGGAATTATGCCTGAGTTGTAAGACTTTTATGAAAGAACTGGTGTTATTATTTTAAACTCAACTCATCATCGACCATGATATTTCTTTCTGCGACCACCCTTTCTCCATATTTCTCTTTTTTTAACACTCACTCCTTGTGGTTTTGAGTGTGAATGCACATAAGTGTGTTTGCGTGTGTGTGTATGTGTAGTATACGGATATGGGTGTTGTGGTGCTTCAAACATGTGCATTTTCTAGCGCAGACCACTGTGTTCCAGTCAGTCTGTACCACAAACTGGGGTTTCTTACTTCTCCAGATGCTTTATTTTTAACCTGTGTATCTGACCAGCAAGTTATTGGGATCCTTTCTCTGTGCTTAGATATGTACGACTGTCTATAACCCTCAACAATGAACACAATTTTCTCATGAACAGGAGCTCAAAAGATTGGAAGAAAGCTTTCAGTTCCTGCAGAAGCAGAGGGAAATGGTCATGCAGGAAAAGCACTTGGTCCAAAAGCTGTGGCATCACTTTCAGGTCTTTCAGATGAGGTAGGAGCCAGACTGGGAAGAGTAGGTAGAGCCAAGGGGGATCCCATGGACTTGGGGTTAATATCAATTCTGTCCATCTCTGAGGCTACAATCTAGAGCAGGGAATAGAAGACCTCGGAGAATTGAGCTGGTCCAGTCAACAAGAAATTCTGGCCAGTATATATTATACTTGATACTCAGTGTGTCTGTAGAATTTAATCTCTATTTCTCCCTTCTGAACACTGAATTCTCCCAAGGCTTTCCCTGAAATCACAGAGAGCTGCCTGTCTCAGCCTTCCGAGATATTGGGTTTAAAGGTGTAGACCACGGGGCCTGGTAGAATTCATGTTTTTATTTAGAAAAATCCCATGAAGTTAAGAGATTTCCATCTTTAGCACTGCTCTATGTAATATTTGCCCACTTCCTGTGAAAAGTGTTCTCTGGTTAAGGAATTCCCAGGATGAACCCAGGCAGACACGCAGCTGTAGGGAAGATCAAAACCTTCTCTGGTGTGTTCTGTAACCGACTCTCAAAGCCAGGATGCAGATTCCCAGGTCTAGTCCCAAGGAAAGCACCAGTTTCTGTTTGGTTCCAGAGCCCTGACAGGGACAACATTCTCAGGCACACATCTCAGAAATGCTCCTCTAGCAGGACAGGCTCTACCTGCATGTTGTTCATGTTCAAGAGTCCTTCTGGGCATGAGGACTGAACTAGCCTCACACTTTGTAACAGGGACCTAAGCTGCCGTAAGTTTAAGGCTATCTATAAAATGATGAATAACTCATGGACAACTCATGTATTTCTCATGTGCTGTTAACTATAGTATCAATATGCTGTTACTGTTTACAAAATGATATCCCTGAATTATAGGAGAATGTCCTATTTTTTCTAGTAGAATGGACACCAACAGTGTTTATTTGAAATTATGATTTCTGTTTATCATTGAGCAAAGTTTTAGGCCCATCTACTCTGGGATCTTATTCCTTGTGAGTACCAACAATGACATCAGTCAAAAGACTAAATTCATTGTCCAGCAGAGCTGAGGTGGATTGAGGGATCATCTTCACAGCTAACGTGGGAGGTCCCCATCAGCCTGTGTTTTAACTGCTTTTCCTCTTCCAGGTCTAAAACTCTGCAGACTCATCTGGAACAGGCCACAGTCCAGGATGAGAGCCACCTGCAGAAGGAACTCCAGCAAGAACTACGTACTGAATCACATCCCCAGAAATACTGAATTCTAAGGACACATATTCTTTTTTAATTTTGGTTACCCTTGTAGAATGATTTACCTAGCCAGTGACCCATCAATGTATGCTTCTTGGCCTTGATTTTTTTTTTGATAATACCATTTCAGAGACCCGAGAAAGAGAAAGTAAGCCAGAAACACCTTCTACACATGTTCTTCATATTAGGATTAAGGCCTACAGATAAAAAGACACTCCCCTTAGGTGTGAACACACCAGTGAGGGAAATTCCGGATGACCTCCAGTAATTCACACCCAATATTATCCATGTGTCTAATGACTCAGTTCTCGACAAGAAAAAAATGATCAAAAATATAATCTAGATACAGAAATCCTGAGACAAAGATTATTCAGAATCCCACATTTACCAGCAAGTGGACTCCGCCTTGGCGTAACATGACATATAAGCTCCTATGTGGAATGGACACAGGATTCTTGAAAAAGCTATTAAAATTGTGACTACCTCACTAGTATTTCTCCAAGGCAAGCACTTGCATGTAGTAGTTATAGTAGGTCTATCAACATGCAGTGATAAATGCTAATTAGCTTTATTTTGGTTTGATTTTTTGTTTTAGATATTTGTTTGTGGTTCATTTGGTTGTAGTTTTACTATTTTGATGTTATTCTTGTTATTAGTACCATAATTTTCCAAGTTTATCCATTGTTTATGTTCACTATTGTGTAGTAGGCACTATCAAAATGCAGTGACAAATGTTAAATAGCTTTATTTTTGTTTTAGATTTTTGTTTATGGTTCATTTGGTTTTGGTTTTGCTATCTTGATGTTATTTATTCTTGTTATTACTTCCATAATTTTCCAAGTTTATCCATTGTTTATGTTCACTATTGTTTAAAATATATTGCTTCTTAATAAAAAAGCAATTTCCAACTTTTCACACTTAATCCCAGCTTTTTAAATCAAGTGTGGTGTCACACTGCTTTAAGCCCCAAATTTCCAGGTACAGATGGAAGCCATGGGTCAATGCCCAGTGGATGTCAACCCCTTGCCCATTGGCAGTTGGACCACAGCTGCCTTAGTGCAGCTCCTGATGGCAGCACTGATGGTGAAGGAGATCAGGTGGCATCCTGTGGGCATGGCACCTGTTCTCCTGGAGGCCACCAGTAGCTTCACCCTTCAGTGTTGTATGCAAGGGAAAGCAAAGGAAACACTAATAGATAATAAGATCCCGAATGGAGACTTGTCTGGCATCTGCCCCCTAAATCCTGGGGTAGGTGTCCCTGGAGAGCTTAGGGTTTGGGCATCTCTGCTCTCTTCCCTCTAGATCATGGGGAGCGTTCACCATGCAGTGGAAAATGGCAGGCTGGAATATGTCCCCATGGTTCCCCAGTGACTCCCTGGGGACACCAAGCAGAGGTCAGGAGTGATGCAACGTCTGAGTTCACTTCAGGGTATCAGAGACAGAAACAACATTTAGGCCTTATGGAAAGCCTTGACCAATCTTTCCCCCATGTCATTCTCTTAAGGCAATCCTACAGAGGACAACTGTCCTGCCATTCTGTGGTCACTGAGGAGCAGAAGAATCTGGGTCTTGGACACAACCAATGGTGTGGGAGGTTCTGAATCTCAGAGCAGTGAAGCCTGAGGGCACTAGAGAAAATAACCCCATTTATCTTGTGTCAGAGGGCCTGAAGTTACCTGAGGGGGAGGTCTCTGTCTTTGGGTAGCGGAGGGAACATCTTTGGTTTGGTTTTGGGTTTCAGACAGGTTCTTATATTATTTCACATTGGCCTTGAATTTACTATTTCTGGGATTCTCTACCTGGGTTCATATCCAAGCTGATTAAAACCACAGATATTTATACTATAATTCATTATATTAGTGAAATTTCAGTTATAAAGTAGCAACGGAATAATTTCAGACCGGGGCAGCACAGCTTGAGGAAGTATATCAAAGGTCACATCACTGGGAAGGCTGAAAAACACTGAACTGTGTGGTGGAGGCTCCTGCCTCTACCTCATGACTGCTGGGATGTTACCTGGTACAATCAGTGTGGGGGATCTAACCCAGCCTTTTGTGTATAATAGAAAAGTGCCCTACCACCTGAGCAATGGTGCTCACCACTTCACAGCCATTTCTGGAGGCAGGCCAGTGTCTTCAGGCAGGGGAATAGTCTAGGAGGCACCCCTTTGATACCTGGGCCTCCAGATTTTCACAGCTAATGAAAACAACAGAAACACTGCAGCGCTCAGGCACTACCAAGACTGTTCTGGATGCTGAAGAAGCCCCTTGTGGTTGGTGGAAATTTCAAGAGTAGAGCTAGAGCTGT